TGAATTAATTGAAGAAATAACAAGTTCAAAGGCTAATAATAATAATAATGATGATGATAGCAACAAAAATCCAAACAATGTAGCTGTCATTAAAATTTAGACCCTGGGGGCAAGTTAGAGCTTGTCAAATGAGGAAAGACTGGTCTGTGCAAACTGTGTGAAAAAGCAATGCCCTAGGATTAATTTATGTATTATGTTATTCATTACTTGGATGTCCACATGGAATGGGTGAAAATATTCACAATTCATGAAAAAGGAAAGATTTTTGGGATGTAATATTTTCATTTGAAGATTCATAATGGAAGTGAACTTTTGTTTTTCATCAGTATCCAGATTTAAGCATTTGTCACTGATTCAGGGATTAGAAACAACGCCATATGGTTTGAGTGGCCAATCACACAGCACAAATAACAACAAAAAGTGGTCAGAATGAACATCTGGTGAGCATTCTGAATCTGAAGATTATCCTGATTATTCTATGAATATTTATGAGTAAAAAAAAAGTGAATAATGAGCTAGTCCATTAGTCCATAAGCTGTTCACAGTGAAAAGAAATAATTACATGTGCAATCAATATTATTCCAAATAAGTAATTGAATTGGTTCAAATTTAACATACTTCTGGTTCTAACAGGCTTTTTGCTCTGCTGGAATCTCCATCTCTCTGAATCTGGAATCTGAAGGCTGACTCTGCCAAGAGATTTTAAACCTGTGTTTAGATTTTGGTTTATATTGTATTCACAAACAGTGCATCACTAAAAAATAATCAGAAAATTTGTGTTGTTGTGTTTAGAATATATCTCACAGACTTCAGAATACAACAAACAGTTTAGGATAGTGAAACATAATTGTACACATGTTAAAGTGTGTAATTAATTAAAAAGAAGTTGAATTCACAGAAACTCAATATTAGGAAAGCTTGACTAGGCATACTTCTTATAGGATTTCCTGCCGTGTATTCAAAACTTTCAATAACTCCAAACGTAGAAAACTTGAGAGCTTAGAATGACTCACTTAGTGTTGATAAAAGTCCTTCAGTAATTCTGTGGAAGAAAACTGTAAAAGGAGTTATTAAACAAGTGCTGGGAGCAGGCACATGCTACATATAGTTGAAATACAAGCCTTCAGTCACTCAGTCAATAGGAACTTTGAGGATGACTTTGATAGATGAAGTGTCATAGTCTTTTAAAATTCCTTTTAGAATCATAGGATCATAGAATGGTTTGGGTTGGAAGGGACCTTAAAGATTATCTAGTTCCAACCCTCTGCCGTGGTCAGGGGCACTTTGCACTAGACCACGTTGCTCAAAGCCCCATCCAACCTGGCCTTGAACACTTCCAGGGATGGGGCATCCACAACTTGTCTGGACAACCTGTTCCAGTGCCTCACCATTCTCACAGTAAAGAATTTCTTCCTAATAACTAATCTAAATCTACCCTCTTTCAGTTTAAACCCACTACCCCCCATCCTATCACTGCAGTCCCTGATAAAGCATCCCTCCCCATCTTTTCTGTAGGCCCCCTTTAAGTACTGGAAGGTTCCTATAAGGTCTCCCCAGAGCCTTCTCTTCTTGAGGCTAAACAACCCCAACTCTCTCAGCCTGTCCTCATAGGAGAGGTGCTCCAGCCCTCAGGTCATTTTTGTAGCCCTCCTCTGGACCCGCTCCAACAGGTCCATGTCCTTCTTGTGCTGAGGGCTCCAGAGCTGAACATAGTACTCTAGGTGAGGTCTCACCAGGGCAGAATAGAGGGGCAGAATCACCTCCCTCGACCTGCTGGCCACGCTTCTCCCGATGCAGCCCAGAGTACGGTTGGCCTTCTGGGCTGCCAGCGCACATTGCCGGCTCATGTCCCGCTTTTCATCCACCAGCACCCCCAAGTCCCTCTTGGCAGGGCTGCTCTCGATCCTTTCATGCCCCAACCTGTATTGATACCAGGGGTTACCCCAACCCAGGTGCAGGACCTTGCACTTGGCCTTGTTGAATCTCATGAGGTTCACACAGGCCCACCTCTCCAGCCTGTCCAGGTCTCTCTGGATGACATCCCATCCTTCTGGTGTGTCAACCGCACCACTGTTTGGTGTCATCTGCAAACTTGCTGAGGGTGCACTCGATCTCGCTGTCTAAGTCATTGATGAAAATGTTAAACAGCACCAGTCCCAGTACAGACCCCTGAGGGACACCACTCGTCACCGGTCTCCATCCGGACATCAAGCCATTGACCACTACCCTCTGGATGCGACCATTCAGCCAGTTCCTTATCCACCGAACAGTCCACCCATCATCATACAGACAATACATCTGCTTGGGCAAAAGGTTGCAGTGAGGGTTAAGATTTTAATTTCATCTTGTCTCAGTTGCATGACTTGGGTAGGTCACTTCTCCCTCTGTGTCTTTTGTTTTCCCCATCACCTATCCTTTGTGCTGCTTGTTCATCTCAAACGTGAATGCTTTGGAGCAGCATCTGTCTCCCTTGCACATTACTCAACACCCTGAGGCTTGAAAATCACTGAAGTATTTAGATGCTATTGCTATTTGAACAATAACAATTAGAATGCTATTTGGGGAAATCCAAGCTTGCTTGCTGCATGGACTCATCGAATTCTTTACAGGAAAAAGGCATATATTTTTAAAGGATGTTTAATTTTTAGCACTGGCTTCAGCTGATATTACAAGTCCATGCAAAAATGTATGTATTCTGAATTTCTACAAAAATAAGTTTGTTTTCTTTAAAAATAATGCGTTTATACTAGTTATTTTTGGTGATGTTTCAGACTGAAATAACACTATAACTGGCTGCAGAAAGTCTTGTGGCTCACACCACAGCAAGTTTTAAGTCTTATGGAGTCAATGGTGCAGTTTTCACTTAGAAAAATAGATGAAAATAAAGAGCTTCCTAGATTTTCTTTCCCAAGACAGGGTAGGGGCATGACCAGCCTAAAGTAGTTTCTCCACTCAAACACTTTTGTTAGTAGAATAATGTTAAAATCTACTGAAACCACAGCATTTTTCTTCAAAAAGGCACTTATTTTGTTCTGTCCATGGTGGGCTAAGCAGCAACAGCAGCTCCATTTGAAAATTCTATCGCTAGAAAAATAAATTTTGGGAAACAACTTCAGTAATTAGTTCATATTCTAGAAATGCAATTCTGTCATTAGATTTCAAAATGACAAAAGGTTTGAGAAATAAAATGTTTCTGATGCCACTATTTCCAGAGTAGTCATTGGCTCAGATTTTATTCCATACCTATTGCCATTCTGGCAAAAAAGTAAAAGTTAATGTAATCAAACTGCCATTAAAGTCAATGCTAAATCTTATCTGAGCTGGTGGCAAGAGCTCTGCTCTCTTTTTATTTAGACATTTAAAAATCAAGATTTTATGATGATGTTTCCAAGAAAATGAGATACTATATTTCATAGTTGTTTAGAAAAGCTTGATTTTCTACCCCTTCATGCTGCACAGTAAATCTCAGGGAACAACAGCACTGTGTTCTCACTGCCCGTACTGGATTTTTCCTTCCCACTGAATTTGCCTGTTCTTTTGTCACCCGTATCACCATGTCACATTTGCAAACTGCTGCAGGCAGTAATCTGGCTTTTCTTATCCATATTTTAAAGCACCTTGCTCCTTCCTGGCCATTGTCAAAGAAGCAATAAAAAGTTACAATAATTTTGGTGGGAACAGGACCTGCTTGCTAGAGGAGCACAATGGTGAACTTGTTTTTTTCACTTTAAGGACCATGCAAAGCAGGGTTTTTCAAAGCAATGTTCAGATGGGTCTCAGGAGAAAGGAGAGCATTCAAGAAAATTTGAATTGAATCTGAATGTTTTGCAGAAGGTAGACTCTAACCCTTGATTTCAGCATCCCGGGAAAGACCAAATTATTCCTAGTTTTAGAAACAGTCTCACATAAGATAATGGCAAATGTGGAAGCCTGCCTTTTCAGTTTTGAGGAGCTCAGCCAGCAGGCCAATGGAAGAAAAACAATCTATTTTGTATAAAGCAGAGAATCTGAACCAGAAAAGCGAGAAGTGGAGAACATCAAAATAAAGAGGATTAGACTTTATCTCCACCAAGAAAAGGACTGCCTGAATCAGACAGAAGGTGTTCAAGCTTTTTCTTAGTGCTTAGTATTATGTTGCAGCCTAACCAGCAATAGAAACAGAGGAAAGGACAGAATTAGGGCTTCTGGCATCTGCTACTGTTTTTAGCCCAGTTCCCTAGCTAGTTTCACAAACTGTAATGGAAACTCCAAAATGCTCCTGTGACCTTCCGAAAGATAAGCATCCAGGTGGAGGAGAGAACAAGACCGCTCGACATTCCTGTCACCTGTGTTTATTAGACACCAGAGCCCACACAAGAAAGTAACATAACAGCTCTCCCAAACTGGACAGTATTTTAATGGGGCATTTAGAATTTGGGGGATACCAGATAATTCAGTCCTGAGACAAGACAACATGGGAAACTGGGGTTTGTTAGCACCAGTGTCCAGGGAATTGCTTATTTTTGTTGTATTTGCAACATCATCCTGTGAGGGCAAATCTTTTACATTTTACTTTTTGCCTCTGTTGTTTATTTTTCCCTTGAGAACATTTTCAGGCAAGTCCCACTCTTCAGTTGGTCAGAGCAATGTTGGTAACTAGATCAAGCTGCCACAGAGACCAGAAGGATTTCTGGTGATAAGCAAGTCATTTTAGGACCTGGGGAGCTCCTAAACCTTCTTTTTTTCACAGGGTTTGATGGCTGATAACTACCCCACATATCCCCAGTCACAAAATTTCCCATTTCAAGTTAAATAGACGTGGCTTTTCTGGCCAAGGATGGTGATGACAATGAAGGTGGTGGCAGGCCAGAAGCTTATGTGAAACCAGTGCTGCTCAGTGCTCCCAGATAATTTTAAACATGAGGAAAAATAAAAGGAAGCAAGAGCATCCTAGACCATGCTTGGATGCCTCCAAAGACCAGGGGTCTTGCTTGGCAAGGGAGGCACAGGACAAATCCTCTCCTGGAAAAGAGAGTCTGAGCCAGGAATATCTTTTCCCAATATGTCCACCAAAAATGAGGTTTTGCATGGACAGAAACCATTTATGATGCTGAGCTGCACGTGGCAAATCAATGTCTAAAAGTTATCTAAGGGCAGAGGCATTAACATTCTTAAAAAAAAAAAAGGGAAAACTTAATTCCTGCTAATAACCTACCCCATTTTTCTTCTATTTTTGTAATGTCAGTTTCTGTTTTGGTTTGGCTTGAATGAAATTTCTTTCTCAACTTTGTTGGTTCAGTCCCAGACTACAAACTCTATTATTTGCTGAGCTCTACAGAATGTAGTTTATAAAGAGAGTCTAAGTGAGTTATAGGCCTGTTGTTCCAGAAAAAATTATGTTTAGAGCCATTGCAATATTTCACTTGGATAACGTCAAAACTGCAATATAAAAAGTGAAAAATGTATAGGAATATAATAGTAAAATGATCTAGAAGTTAAAATGAAATAATGGAAAAACTGTTGAAAGGCAAATTTTTGCTATAATAAAATAAATTTTGTTGACACCTGAAAAGAAGGGTTGGTATTAATTTTTGTTGTCTGCCATTGTAAGCTGTCAAAGGTAACACAACTCACAAATGTTTCATACTTGATAAAAATACAGTTTTGCTGGAAGAGTGAACATGTTTTTGAGTACCACTGAAAGTTTGTACCTACAACAGCATGACATTGATCTGCTGTGATCTGTGACGATCCCAGCAGCATTACAAGAATATTAAGTCAGGATTCACTTTTTTTTTCTGTGCATCTTAGAAAGGAAGGGGAAATGAACAGATATGAATATTTTACAGTGACCGAGGCTATCAGTGAAAGTAAGGGGAAGCTGGCAACAGGAGTAGACTCTGAAGCAGATGGCATGGAGCTAGAAGAGCTGAGTGCTGGGGTACAGGAAGAATTGTGATTGCCTGCAGCCTTTCTCTCCCCGGGGACACCAATTGCATCTCTCCACCCACCTTCTGGGAAGCTGGTAGGGACTGGGTAACTGGGAACCCACCTGCACTTTGCTCTATCCATTACCAAGCTCCAGTCCAGGACAAAAAGCCTAGGAGAAATTAAGATGTAGAAGGAATTGGCCTTGAGGACCATGCCCTATAGTAAGAGCAAATGTGAGTTATCCTGTACCACTTGGTCCAGGGACCAGGGCTTAGCCCGTGTGTTGTGGAAACACTTGAGAGAGAGCTGGGAGCTCTAGTTTTTTGTCAAATTTAACTGAGATCATCCAACAGCTTCAGATCTACTGGACATGGGGAGAATGGGCTGGTGGGTCCCTGAGCAGACAGGCAAACATACATGCTGTGGTTTAACCCAGTAGGCAGCTGAACACCACACAGCCACTTGCTCACTCCCCTCCTCCCCAGTGGGATGTGGGATAGAATCAGGAAAAAGTAAAACCTGTGGTTTGAGATAAAGACAGTTTAATAGAACAGCAGAGGATAATAATAACAGCAATAACAATAACAACAATAATAACAAAAATTATTAATAATAATTAAAAAAAATATACAAGGCAAGTGATGCAGTTGCTCACTACGCGCTGACTGATGTCCAACCTGTCCCTGAGCAGCAATTGCTGCTCCCCAGCCGATTCCTCCCAGTTGATATACTGAGCATGACAAGCTTTTCCTCTATTTTATATGCTGAGCATGATGTCATATGGTATGGAATATCCCTTTGGCCTGTTGGGGTCAGCAGTCCTGGCTGTGCCCCCTCCCAGCTTCTTGTGCACCTGGCATAGCATGGGAACCTGAAAAGTCCTTGGCTTACTATAAGCACTACTTACCAACAACTAAAACATCAGTGTGTTATCAGCATTCTTCTCATACTAAATCCAAAACACAGGACCATGCCAGCTACTATGAAGAAAATTAACTCTATCCCAGCCAAAACCAGGACGTGTGCACACAGTACATGCAAGTTGAATGTAAAATAAACACAGAGAAGAACACTTTGCGGTTACTTTTTTTCTTTGCTATGTGTTGCAATGGCTGTCCACTGTTGTGGTAAACTTACTGAGGTGTTAAAAGTCTTAAGACATAAACTTGCAACATGGAGATGCCAGCCATCTTCCCCTTAGCTTTTATGGGAAAGCAGATGGAAGTGATGAAGGCACTGAACCCGGCTTCCCACACTTACCCAGGAAACCTAACCATTGGCACTAGGTCATGTGGCATTCAGTGAACTAGAGAAATGCAAAACACATCTACCCTTGGGATCCCAAGTTCCCAGGCACTGCTTTGCCTTCTCTTCAGGGGGTACGTGGCACACAGATGTTAGCAATGACAGGGGAAATAAACTTGAGCTGTTTCTCACAGAGTATCTGGGGGCATCACCTTAAGAGCACATTGAAGAGCCCCCCTAATATGAGTGAGGAGAAGTTGAATCTCTCTTTGTTGATGTCGTGGGTATGACTTCATTGACCAAGGCTGGGAAAGGCTGGACTGGATTGCCAAGAATCACAGTTGGTTCAGAAACATCAATAAAGTCATGTGGTAAGAGCAGTATTTCTCCCTATGTCAACTTCAGTTGTGTTGTTACTAAGGTGGTGGAGATAAATAAGATTCACTAATGACTTAGGAAATAAATAATGCAAAAAAAAAGGAAAACATTTTGTGAATTACATTTGTCACTGATGCATATAAAAAAATAGCTCCGTGAGCCTACAGAAACAAATGTACAGACAAAGGGATTTTGTGGTACTATCCACATACAGGAAAGCAGTCACTGTAGGCAACTGCAACATTGGCAGTGGGAGAGAGAAATCTGGAAATAAGAAAAGGCAAAAAAATGTGGCTCAGTTTTAATTTCACTGACTTGTTTACAAGATACCAACATCTCAAAATCACTCCTTTGTGTTACTTGAGATGTAGATAAGAGTCTGCCAGCAAGACCAGGCCTCCTTCTTCTTTTGGTTCTGGGAGCCAACGCCAGCCCACCTTCCTTTCTGGATGTATGGAGGTCCAGGACCAGGAGTCAGGGTGTTTCAGGCTCTTGGTACTCACTGAAGGCAAAGCTCGGGTGTTTGTGCAGTGGGGTCTGAACTACCCTGGGTGCACTGTATCACGTGTGGAAAAGAGAGTGTAGTGCTGTGGGGCAGAAGGCAGTCAGGCTTTTGGACCTTGTCTGGGTGTGGAAAGATTGATGTGTATGAAGAGTGTACAGATAATTTTTTTGCAGTCCTTAGTGATAAGAAGAAGGTAGGTGCTACATGGGGCAGGGATGGCCAAAGCTCTGTAATGAAGCAGATAGGGCCAGATGACCCAGGTCCCTGCAGTAACACCGGCACCCAAAAGGTTCTTCAACACATCTAACCCAAAATTACTTCAGAGGGTTATTGTCTTCCTCACTCCAGCCAAGTGGGTTTTTTAAGTGCTGAGAGGAAAGATCGCATTGGTAGTTTACACGTGTCCCATTAAAATTGGTTTTGGTCTAGTCTTGCTTATGCTCTGTCGTGGTTTAACCTGACTGGCAACTAAGCACCATGCAGCCGCTCTCTCACTCCCCCCCTTCCCTCAGTGGGATGGGGAAGAGAATCGTAGAAAAGAAAAAAAAAAAAGTAAGACCCGTGGGTTGAGATAGAGACAGTTTAATAAGAGAGAAGAACAACAATAGTGATAATAATAATGGTAGGAGAATATACAGAATATATAAAACAAATGATGCACAACGCAATTGCTCACCACCTCCTGACCGATGCCTGTCCTGAGCAGCGATCACTCCCCCCGAGCTGGGACCACTCTGCCCATGACCGACCGACTGACTAACCGCCCCGAGCATGACGTTATATGGTATGGAATAGCTCTTTGGTCAGTTTGGGTTAGCTGTCCTAGCTGTGCCGTACTCCCAGCTTGTTATGCACCTGGTCGAGCAGGAGAAGCTCAAAAAGTCCTTGAGTAGTCTGAGCACTACTTGGCAACAACTAAAAACATCAGTGTGTTATCAACATTCTTCTGGTACTAAATCCAAAACACAGCACTGTGCTAGCTACTATGAAGAAAATTAACTCTATCCCAGCTGAAACCAGGACACGCTCCTAAATTAGCATGAAGTGTAGTACACAGCTACATTAAGCCAACCCCACCATTAGAAGGTGCACCTCAATAGAGGAGAGATTTTTTTGTCTTGCTTTTCTTGATCCTGGAGGTTACCACTGGTTACAAGCAGATCTGAGCACTATAAAATTGCTAATCCTATGTGGTGACACAACTGTGCTGACTGATGCCATTGCATATCTATCAAAGACATCCAGATGTACACAAAACGGTGTGTGTATATGTATGTGCTCTTACGTACATGCACACTTGTGATTATCCTTTCAGATAAGGCCTTTCTGTTTATTTTTAATTTATAACTAAATACTTTTAATTGCTTTTATGAAACACAGTTGGAGTTCACGGAGCAGTAGCTGGCATCAAGGCATTTCTGCCCTGTATCTGTGGTGATCCTTAACAACAGGAGCCCGCAGTATCCTGACATGCTCTGTTAGCCTGAAGCTCTGGGGAAACTTCTCCCCCGAAAGTGAAAAGCTATGCATTTGTTTAGTTGCATGGGCCACTAGATGTCCATGTGGAAAAGAGTTTTCCAGTGACTAAATATGGCAAACTCCGAGGTTCCCATGGGAGTTATTGATGCACAGCCAACTGGAATTACAAACAACCTTTGAATAAGATGTCTTAGATGGCATGTATGACTAAATATGAATACCTTTCCTTAAAAATAATAACGATCGTCTTGTCTCAGGCCCAATCTTCTTGCTCGCAGTCATTGCCAAGAAGTGAGATGTTTTGAGACCACATACTGGCTTTGAAAGAATGCCTTTGACATTTGTTGAATTTGGTTTGATCAGTGATCCTTTTAGTTATGAAAAAAGGAAGAAAGTTAAGAAGTGGAATGTCAAAGGCTCTGGGCAGCAAATGGAAGAGAGGGGTTTTCTTAAATGTAGGCTGAAACCTGAAAACAAAGTTGGAGTCAACATTTAACCCTCAGGGATGAAGTTAAACCATTTTTGTGCTATTTCACTTCCGACAAGCATGACTGACACCATCATTCTGTTTATGTTCTTTAGCTGGGCTTCTGGGATGCTGATCTTAGAGAAACCACTTAAACCACATTTCTCATCCGCTTGGGTTGTAACCAGCTCCTAGGATTAAATGACAGGCTTATTTTCTACTAATTGCTCCTTTGCCTGTCATGTAATTTGCCCTATATACAGTACAAGTCCTCCAGCATTTGTCTAAAATCCTGTTTTCCCTCTCCTTATTAACCTATGTTATGTCTTTTCTCACCATTCATTGCTTCAGATATGCTTGTTTCTCTGTCTCTGGTTTGATGGGTTTTTTTGCTCATTCAGTGTTTGTTTTTTTAATGCATCTTTTCTCAAAAGCCTATTAAGTGATATTTTTAAAGATTATTTTTTGAATATAGTTTATTTAAAATATTTTACGTGTCAGCTCTCCTCCACTCTTAGCTTTTCCATTTGTAGATAATTTTCTTTTCCTTGGTTCAGTATTTACAGTTCAGTACATTTTCTGTTCCCTGGGCCTTCCCGTATTCCTCTTGTCTGTGCTCTTGCTTTTGATCTCTTTCTGCAGTCATTCTATTTTTGCCTTTACAGATAATTTCTTAATAAAACCTCTTGGTCCTTCTGTCATTAACCTTTTCAGACTCCATTGTATTTAAAAGAACACTATTTTTCTGGTGCATTATAATAAACAAGATGACCTAGTTCTTCTTTATTTTGCAGCCACAAAAGAAGTACTGATCATCATGAAACAGCAAAACCAGCAAAAAAATATCTTAGAGTATATATTGCAAAACAGAGGGAGAATATCACAAAGATCCTCATTTTGGTCATGGTTTCATAGCAGTGTTTAGCCTTTTGTCACCATCTGGCTGTGTACCACCTAATAGCTTTAGTCTGATATTTCTTCATTTTCTCAATGTGCTAGAAGAAAAAGTCTTCCCAGATTCCATGGTAGGAAGCAAATAAGGATATTTTTTATTAATTGCCATCTAGTGCATGATGTTTTCTGTCTCTCTGTGCCTTTGCCACAGAGGGTGGTGGTGTTTGTCCGGCGTACCCAGATAGATAAGTGTCCCTCTAGCTAAAGTGTAAAAACCTTGTGTTGTTGCCAATGGAAGTTCTTAGTGGTGGTGAAAGCATATTTTTTGGGGGCCTAGATTCTGCTCTCATTTCAGACAGATAAAATCTGTGATCCTGCAAGTCAATTGACAGGTAATCTCCATGTTTCCACAAGTACATTGCATTATGATCACCCTGCACTTGCAGGAGTTTTAGGCAAAATATTTGGGACTAATCATGGAGCAAATCTGCAGAAACCAAAGGAGTTGTTCAAAATTCACCTCAGAGCAGCTAAGGAGTAGAAATTTCCCCTGTTTTTTCAGATCTCAGAAGCAGTCTTGCCCTGCTTTGGATTGGTATTATACCACTTCTTAGTTGTAAGACCAAATTATATTAAGTTCCTTCCCTAGTTTTGGTTTGGGCTTTCCATTTTTCACATCCTTAGTTTGAAATATTTTTCTAATATATTCATATTTATTTCCAGGCATCCAGCCTACTTTTATTCTGGCCTTTGCATCTTTTTTTCCTTCTCTGTTTTAGTCCAACATAAACGATTCCCTTTCAGCACACACAGTACCCTGCTATTTATTTAAGATTGAAAGAAGGCAAGAAAGTAGTTTTCTCATGCAACTTCTAGGACATCTCCAATTTTGTGGCAAGTTTTGGCCAGTTCCTAGGTAAAGCCCAGTCATGGTCATTGGCAAAATAAGTTAGTGTGTGTGGCTAATAGAACTTGTCTACAGATTAGAATGCTTTGGTCTAATCATAGTCATATTTTACGAGTTACTTACTAGCAGGTTTTTATGTACTATTTAATTATATTTGCAAATAAGGGATGCAGTGCAGCATTCAAGTAGTTTTATAATCAACTTTTACATTGCCTAAATCTGCTATTCTAGGTATGAGGCCAGCCTGGCTCTTTGGAAATCATCAACACAAAAGAATGTCAAAGCAAAAGGAAAAGATGGCTCTCTTGATGTTCTTTGTTTCCACGAAGGAAAGGCACATTGCTGTTTATTTCAAATGCATATACTCATTTTCACGGTGAACCTAAGTTTTACAGTCTGATATTGGATACTTTCCTGTTGTGGTTTGTGTGTGTGTGTGTGTAAAAATGTATAGACGGTTTATTTGTTCAGGCAAATTAGCTGCTGCTTTGCAGTGTGAGTAATCACACTGAAGCCAGTGGGTTTCTCAGACTTATGTCAGGAAGGATATTAGTTCTGCTTTTATATATCATCCGTTACAGTGGGTCCTGGCCCACAGCTATGGTTCTGAGGCTCTGTAATAAAACATTAATATAATAGTAATGCTTTGGCTCCTTGGGTGGAACATCTGTCTGACCTTCACTGTAACCAAATTCAGCTTTCTTCTTTAAAATAATACTGAGATTGGAATTTTGTCCCTATTTGCAGTGAAAATAGGTTGTAACCAGATATTTTCTTGAGGGGTCTAAAGCCTTCAGTACCAAGAGATAATTCTGCCTATTTTCAGGGCTCTCTTTACTATGGTACATGAAAATAACAGTGTTACAAAAAGTTTCCAGGGTCCCAGTCACTATTCAGGCTGGATTTGCAAGGTGGGTGTTTAGGCATCTATTCATCTGCAGGGATTCATACAGTGTAAACTGGATATACTGGCTCCGTCTGGAGTGCTTCAGGGGGATTTTGGCATCCCAGCTGTGATCTGAGCCACATGGAGGTCTGGCTGGGTAGGCATGCAGTGTGAAACACTCAAGAAGAAATGATGTTTATACTCTGCCCCTGTCTTTGGCACCTTATCCAAGATGTCAGAAAATTGCTCTCCTACGTGCAGGCTACTTACCAGAAGTGACTGCCTCTCTTTTGGGACGTGGCTGACAGAAAAGGCCGTCTATTCTTATGCAGCTGCTAAGCATGAAACGCACTCACTCGGCAAGTAGGAGACTAAGAGTATTCAGAGACATGATGACACTCAAGAGAGTGCCCCAGTCCCAAAACCAGATCCCAACCCCTCTCTGGCACGCCTGCAGTGGTGAGGATGCTTTCACCTCTCCCCTTCCAGAGTACCCCGCTTTATGGGACCGAGACAGTGTTGATGAGGCAGAGCAGGTAGCTGTGCAGGTTCTTATTGCACAAACTGTGGCATTGGCTAGAGGGAGTGGTAAATGAAAGTAATTTAATTAAAAGTTAAACAGTTTCAACTGACAAGGAATGGTAGCACCTCCTCCCAGTGCCCTGCTCTCCTCCGCCTTGGTAGCACACCCTCTGGCTCTGTAATTAATGTGCTCGTGAAGGATTGAGATGTGTGTTTAGATTCTAGATCCAGATATCTCACAGCTCCAATTAAAGATTACAAACGTAGTCTCCCTCCTACCTCTTCCAGACCTGGCTTGCCATGAGGCCGGGAGGAGGAATACCAGTTTGCGACGCTACCTTGCATTGCCTCATCCAGAAGAGATGCTCAGCATTACCAAGACTGAGGCACTTCTGGAAAAACTCCAGGACAGAAATTGAAATGCCCAATATATTCTGGTATCAAAGAAATAGATAAATAGATGTTATGGTTTAATCCGGCAGGCAGCTAAATGCCACACAGCTGATCACTCACTCCCCCCACAGTGGGGTGGGGGAGAGAATCAGAAAAAAAAAGGTAAAACTCATGACCTGAGATAAAGACAACTTAATAGGACAGAAAAGAAAGGGAAGATAATAATAAAAATCATGATAAAAGAATACACAAAACAAGTGATGCACAATGCAATTGCTCACCACCCACTAACTGATGCTCAGCCAGTTCCTGAGCAGCAGACCCCGCGACAAGTTTTTCCTCTAGTTTATATGCTGAGCATGATGTCATATGGTGTGGAATCCCCCTTTGGTCTGTTGGGGTCATCTGTCCTGGATGTGTTCCCTCCCAACTTCTTGTGCACCACAAGCTTACTTGCTGGTGGGGCAGTGTGAGAAGCAGAAAAAGTCCTTGACTCTGTAAGCACAGCTCAGCAACAACTGAAACATCCCTGTGTTATCAACACTCTTCTCATCCTAAATCCAAACCACAGCATTATGCCAGCTACTAGAAAGAAAATAACTCTATCCCAGCTGAAACCTGAACAATATCCATCCCTTATTCTACACTACCTATGTCACGCCCAGGTCCCACACTTTCCAATAAATCCCAGTTAATCACCACCACATTTCCTGTCTTTTGATACATACACACAGATAACATTCCCTTAGTCTATGGGCCATCCCTCCAAAATGTCCATTGAGTTCATTTAGTCCATGACTTCAGCCTCCATCTGTCATAACAGTCCTTCAGGGCAGGAGAGATGCTGTGTGGTATTGGATTGTTACACACTGAAGCCAGTTCTGGTTCCATTAATGGTGCGCTTGTCCGGTTCTATCACTGCTGCATTTTGCTGGGTTTCATCAGAGTTCATTCTTCATTAATCTGGCCGATTCTTGTATTAATGTAATACCATTGATATGGCATATAGTGACCATAAAAGTGATGACATGCAGTATTATACAGCAGTTAACATCATACAATTCAAATAATTGGCTATTCTCACCCAGAATCAAATCCCCTTGAGGTACACATTGGAATTCCCCATTCTTTTGCATCACCCACCAAGTGTACCCAGGTCCTTGAGCAAAATCAATCCCACAGATGAGTTTGCTTTTGACTGAGGCAGGAATAACCCAGACTGTGCATATTTTTTTCATGCACTACAAGGACTTTATTCCCTTCTACAGTACATAAAAGTTTTAACTGAGCAAGGCCAGCTCGGTTGGCAGATCCCCTGGTGTTAACTAACCAGGTGGCTTTTGCTAAATGTGTACCCCAATGTTTGAATGTCCCAGCACCCATTGCCCTCAGTGTAGTCTTTAACAGGCCATTGTATCATTTGACTTTCCCAGAGGTTGGTGCACAACAGGGGATGTGATACAACCACTCAATGCCATGCTCTTTGGCCCAGATGTCTGTGAGGTTGGTTTGGAAATGAGTCCTGTTGTCTAACTCAATTCTTTCTGGGGTGCCATGTCACCATAGGACTTGCTTTTCAAGGCTCAGGACAGTGTTTTGGGCGGTGTCATGGGGCATGGGATATGTTTCCAGCCATCCAGTGGTTGCCTCCACCATGGTGAGCACATGGCGCTTGCCCTGGTGGGTTTGTGGGCGTCTGATATAATCAATCTGCCAGGCCTCCCCATATTTATATTTCAACCATCATCCTCCACACCAGAGAGGCTTTAAATGCTTTACTTGCTTGATTGAAGCACATGTTTCATGGGCCTGAGGTGGCATGGGCCCATCAAGCTATAAATAATTCACCCTTATGTTGCCTGTCCAGATCCACCTGAGCCACTTCAGTCTCAGCAGCCTGATCCACCTGCTGGTTGTTTTGATGTTCTTCAGTGTCCCACTCTTGTATAGAGATAGAGCACTGGCCATTTTTCTCAGTCAGCAATATCTAAAGCCAGCTGGATGGCTTTCATCTCTGCAAATTGACTTGATTCACCTTCTCCTTCAGCAGTTTCTGCAACTTGTCGTATAGGACTCCATACAGCAGCCTTCCACCTCCCATGCTTTCCCACAAGATGGCAGGACCCATCAGTGAACAGGGCATATTGCTTCTCTTTTTTTGGCAGTTTATTATACAGTGGGGCCTCTTCAGCATGCATCACCTCCTCCTCTGGTGATATTCCAAAATATTTGCCTTCTGGCCAGTCCATGATTGCTTCCAAGATTTCTGGGCAACCGGGGTTTCCTATGTGAGCCCACTGTGTGATCAGTGGCCCACTTACTCCATGTAGCATCAGTTGCACGATGTGTAGCGGGGACCCTCCTTTTGAACATCCAGCCCAGCATCAGTAGTTGGGGTGCCAGGAGGAGCTATGCTTCAATAATGTCCTGGTTTCAGCTGGGATAAAGTAGCTGGCATACTGCTGTGTTTTGGATTTAGTATGAGAAGAATGCTGATAACACACTGATGTATTAGTTGTTGGTAAGTAGTGCTTATAGTAAGTCAAGGACTTTTCAGGTTCCCATGCTCTGCCAGGTGCACAAGAAGCTGGGAGGGGGCACAGCTGGGACAGCTGACCCCAACTGGCCAAAGTGATATTCCATACCATAACCATAGTCATTATGCATGATGGACCCCTGCTTTCCTGGAGACGGCTGAACACCTGCCTGGTGATGGGAAGTAGTGAATGAATTCCTTGTTTTGCTTTGCTTGCTTGTGCAGCTTTTGTTTACCTATTAAACTGTCTTTATCTCAACACATGAGTTTCTTCTCTTTTACTCTTCTGCTTCTCTCCCTCATCCCACCAGGGGTGCGGGGAGGAGGGGAGTGAGCGAGCCGCTCTGCGGTGCTTAGTTACCAGCTGGGGTTAAAGCATGAAAAGTACCAACCACTTCTGGAGCAGCTGCCAAAATCTCTTTTTCAGTTGGAGTATAGCAGGCCTTGGATGCTCTATGTCCCCAACTCCAAAATCCTAGGGGTCAACTTCAAGTATCCCCTGGTGCTTTCTGCCAGAGGCTCCAGGTAGGGCCATTCTCCCCAGCTGCGGTGCAGAGCACATTTTTTACATCTTGGTGGGGTGGTGTGAGAAACAGGAAAAGTCTTTGACTGGGTGTAAACACTGCTCAGCAGTAACTAAAACATCAGTGTGTTATCAACATTATTGCCATACTAAATCCAAAGCACAGCACTAGTTGCCAGGGCAACTAGAAAGAAAATTTACTCTATCCCAGCTGAAACCAGGACATTTGATATCTACCAGAACCAGGAAGAGCTATGCAATGTTTTTGGGGGTCAATGGTTTTAGCACGAGTACCTAACACGGCAAGTCAGGTCACAGGTCTCCTCCCTACGTCCTCCAGGTGCTATGCTGTTTTTTTATTGAAAGGCCTCAAGCATGGCTCACAGACTTCTCAGTACCCTTGGAAATCTGGCCACAGGTATTTCCTGGAAGTTCCTAATTGTGAGATTCCTACCACATGGATATTTAAATTTTGGAGCTTTTTATGAGTCCTGTCAAATTTCTCTATCCTTCTTCTCCTTCCTGCCTCTTGTTTTGGTAGGTAAAGCAACTTTTATATCTGAGGAACTCAAAATATATTTTTCATCTTTTTTTGTGCTAAATTTCCTTCTTTAGACTCCGCTAGAGTGGCTCAAATGTACTGACAATGTCTGTAGGATAACTTTTCCCCATTTTAATATGTTTAGCAGACCAAAGGTTTTAGCTGTTATGTCAGTTTGCTGTGCCAGTGGCTTTAATATTTTTAGCTCCCAGTATGAAGAATGTGTATGACTGAGGGTGCTTAAGAAACCTCCTAGGCTCTCTTTGGCTGGAACACTGAAGACTGAAATTCCTATTACAATACATTGGCTGAGGAGCAAGATAAATTTAATTCATCTGTATATGACACCTCCACCTCCCACCCCCGCCCCCCCAGCAGGTGGACAAAACCTGAAAAAGGACTTGGCTGGGATCTAAGGAAGTGTGTACGTGTACATCAGTTGATGTTGGTGTAGGACAGTAAAATTTTCACGTGCTCCTGCTTCCGTTACCCCTTTCTTCTTTCTCCCACAGCATCAGTGTGCTGAATGTGAATCTTTTAGAAAGATAATTCTTTTTTTTTCTGTTACTGCTGAGCATAGCGCAACTGAATACTCCTCTAAATATGGGTCTTGGAACAAAGCCACAGTCTAGTCCTTACTAGTGGACCCAAACTCCTCGTCTGTTTGTCCATTTGTTTGTTTTAAAATAATTTGCTACAGTTTTGTCATGAAAGGTTGCATAAACAATTCATTACCTGAAAGCAGCATAAACACACCTAATGATCTTTTAGCAAAGCGTGTGGGGAAAGCTGAAGGTGAGAGAAAGGGAGTCCAGTTAGTGCTGCAGCTGCATTTAGTTTCTTCCTTAAAACAGCCTGAAAATGAAACTCCTTAGCTCCTATCCTAGCAGAGAAGAGCAGTTCAGAGCATCATAGAAGAGCAGTTCAGAGCATCATAGGATGATCCAGGTGTGAAGGGACCTCAGGAGGTCTCTAGCCCAGCTTCCTGATCAAAGCAGGGTTAGCTACAAAGTTCTGAAGGGTGATGAAAAAAGGGTCAAAGATAAAAGAACTGAGTTGAGTTTAGACATTCAGATAAAAGCATTAAATCTGAAAAAATTGAAAAAATACAAGAGTATAAATAGAGCAAGCAATGAACTAGTTATGAATTTATTGGCAAAAAGGAGAGTCTTGATCCAAAGTCTGTTACAATCTGCTGAAAGATTTGCAGCAACGCCAGCGAGCTATGGATCAGGCCCACAGACTGATAGTTCATGGAAAGACCAAGGAGTGACTTGTAATGCAGCTGAGCAGTGAGAACACATTGGTAGGTTTTCAGCAGCATTGCTACATGGTGAGGGGACTCTAATATTGGTTCTCGTTATGTGCATGTGGAAGAGCACAAAGCAGAGCTTTCTCCCCTGTTGATCCCCGAGGCTCTGTGGCTCTGCAGCTGTGGTGTGGATCACAGTCTCTTTCTTCTCGGGAGTCTAGCAACTAGTCTAGTAACCCTGCCCCTGAGTGTATTGACTGGTCCCCCCAGTTTGGTGTCAACTGCAAAATGATGAGGGTGCACTCTATAACCTCCGTCAGGTCACTGATAAGGATGTTAAACAGGACAAGTTTCAGTATAGTCCCCTGCAATGCTGGTTTGTCACTGGCCACCAGGTAGAGTACAACCCATTAACCACTAACCTGTGAGCCCAGTTGTCCAACCAGTTTTTTTACTCGTGTGTTTTTCCACTCATCCAGGCTTTAATGTCTTAAACTTGATACAAGATTATTGTGGGAGACAATGTTGAAAGCCTCATTAAAGTCAAGGTAAATGACACCCACTATCCTCCTCTCAGACAGAAAGCCAGGACATTTATCACAGAAGGATATCAGGTTGGTCAAGCATGATTTACCTCTAGTAAATCCATGCTGGCAATCTGCTTTTGCTTCTCTATGTGCCCAGGACAAGTTTTTTGTCTGGGTCAAGATTTTGTCCATAATCCCGGACTTGATCCACAGCCTGTGCTGTTAGCTACTCTCCTCCCTGAACCCTTTCATTTAGCACAGAGGCCCAGGACACCTTGTTGGTGAACACAAGCAAAGAAGGCATTGAGTACATCAACTTGTCTGCTATCACTAAACCACTGCTCCATTTACCAACGGCCTCACATTTTCCTTGTTCAGCCTTTTACTACTAAGTTGGTCACAGAAGCTCTTCTTTTTGACCTTGACATTCCTTGAAAGTCTTAACTCCTTTGGCTTTTGTGACTGTCATGGTTTAACCCCAGCTGGCAACTCAGCACCACACTGCCAATTGCTCACTCCCCTGCAGTGGGATGGGGGAGAGAATCGGAAGGGTAAAAGTGAGAAAACTCATGGGTTGAGGTAAAAACAGTTTAATAGGGAAAGCAACAGCTGTGCATGCAAGCAAAGCAAAGCAAGAAATTAATTCACTGCTTCCCATGGGCAGGCAGGTGTTCAGCCATCTCCAGGAAAGCAGGGCTCCATCAGGCGTAACAGTTCCTTGAGAAGACAAACACCATCACTCAATTTAATGTGTCCACTAACAACTGTTCATAAACCTTCTTTTTATAACTAAGAGATCATGAAAAAAATGTATAAACAATTCCATGAGATAGATGTTGAAAGACAAGTACAACTGTCTTCAATAAATTAGTCTTCATTCTAAGATGTCATCAGAAGAATCTTAGTGTGTCAGCAGCTTCTCTTCAGAGGCTCCCTCAGTCAGATCTGTTGTGAGTATTGCCATTGCAGTGCTGTACTGTATAATAAGTATTAAAAAAAGTTATAAGTTCAGCCTTATTTTGCTTTTATGGTTTGAGGTTACATTGCCACAGACTGATGGAGGCATAACATCGTATGTAAAATACAGCATTACCACATCTGCTATTGTATTAAAGGCATATGTCTTAAGAGTATCACCACAGAAATTTCGTAGACTAACAGAATGATATTGCATTGCCATCATATTAGTACCGGTTGTACTCTGACATAATTTTATACCCTCCTTTTCCCACCAGTGTTTCAAGTCTGATATTCATGCAGCAATTTGGGACATACTTTGGTAATGATGTAGATTTATGAAGACTGTAACGTGGATGATTCATGCAAAACTATTTTTTTTTTTTTTTTGATTTCTGGACAACTTTTGGCAAAACTTCCAAAACCAACCGCTAATATAACATAAATATAGAGGATGCGTTTCTATTTCTAGAGGCAAATGTACTTGAAACAGGGCTTTATTTTAGCACCTTAAAGGCTGCCAGCATAGAGTCATGTCCTACCATCTGGGGTCATAGTCACTTGGAAAGCAAAGCAAAGCAGTGTCCATTTGCAGTCTTGACTATTTGTGCTAGTTCCTACTTTCCCACAGACAAAGAAGTTTTGTTTTTGTTTCTAATGATGGCCATTTTAGCTCCATGGAAGGTATGCATTTCTAACAACAAGAAGATCCAGAGAGCTCACATTGAAATGACTGAAAGTGCCTGGTGAAAGAAGGGGGAAACCCTCTTTGTAATGAGACTCTCCCTTGAGATGAGAGAGGTTTGGCAAGCCTGAGGGACAGACTGAACAGCTTTTTCCTCTGCCTGAGGAATTCAGCCATTTTAGTGGGGAATATATAAATGCCCTCCCTGGACTGGTGCAAACACATGACATACCCCTGTGCCACCAAAAAAAAGGATCAGATGTGAAGTTCTGCCCTGTTCATGAGGATGGGTTGTAACAGAGGATCTTTCCAAAGGACTTTAATTCTCTCTTGGTTTTCTGTGTGCTTCAGGCTGGCCCTGCCTCTGGTCCTGAACTCAGTTTTTGGGAAGATGGGCAAAGTTGGAGGGGGCAAGTGAGAGAGGGCATTGCATGCTATCTGCAAGGGGTATGCAGTGCCAGATGCTTTCCCTTGGATGACGTGTACCCAACTAAAGCTGTACCATTTCTTTGGTGCTCCAAAGAGAGCAGCCTCTACAGCCTGTACCACCATAACCAAACGTAAGAGAGAAGGGCATCTTGGACATGTCCCACAGGAAAGCAGGCGTCGGCTGCATCTGTGGCCACCATCAGTGGGACTAATGGACACCAAAGGAGCTGAAGAAAATCTGGCAGAAAACCCGAAACTTTGCTATCCTACAATCCAGGCAGATATCCCACATATCCTGCTCCTAGCTTCTCTGAGATTGGTCCTTTTGAAGTTTTCTCTTGGAGAGGTGGACTGTGAAATATTTGAAACAGAGAGCTAAACCTGAGTATCCCACATCCCAGCAGATGCTTTTTTTGGTGGGTAATCAAGGCCTTCGCTCTGTCTCTGTGTGGCCCCATAACTGATTTTTCACAGATATAAATCATATATGTAATAGCCTAAGCAGCCAGGATATTTAAGTTCCTTCTATCAAAAATTAATCAACATGCTGACTCTCAACAATCAAATGTAAGCTTTTCCATGCAGATTTTGTGAATATTGGCGCAAATATTATATATCCTGATTTAAAGTCTCACAAATAGGTTGTGACTACAAACCTGGAACTGAGAACAAATCCAGGCCCTGGTGACCAAGCCACCATCTGCTCTTTATTTAAGTTACTTCAAAACCGAATGCTTCTTCCATCCTGCCTGCAGTACGGGATGTGATTAACATAAGTAAAATCAATCAGTTAATAAATTTGCAAGTACCATCAGGACATGCCTATGTAAAAAATTCATGAGTACATAGTCCTTTGCCATAAATTTTACCCAGTTTCTCTCTGTCCCTCCTCTTGTTTATCAGTGGCACCTGGCACATCTCACACATCTAACTTGTCACAAGCGTCAAAGCACTGAACTAGTAATGAGCCACGGCACTTCCAGCGAGGTACTTCAGTTGCTTTCGGTAGAAGCATTGGCCCCTGTAAGCATGCCATGAGCAAGAGGCAGATCACCTCAGGGGGCTATTTAGCCTGTAGGGAAGCTGAGCCGTCATCTGGTACCCCTCATTTTTCTTTGAGGATTTTTAGAGGGAGTCTGTGTTGACTTGACTCCTAATTTAGGATCCTTTGGTTAGATGAAATGAACCTAGGCCTTTGATAGAACTTGAGTATCTAAGCCTTTGAGGATTTGTGCCTAATCTCTTTGTACAAGGAGTGAGGTCAAATCTTTTCTATTTGCTCTTTAATGCCTGACAAATTTTTGGATGCTCCTTAAAAATAGTAACCTCTGATAATGACTCACTTATAGAAGTTATTACTTGCTTCTAGTTTTCTTTTAGCAGAGTTAGAGATAAGAGCAAAACTGGGTTATAATATTTTTATAATAAAGTCTTGTCTTTATTGGATTTTTTAAAGCTAACAAATCCAGAAAGTCTGATGTTACATTTTAATTTGGACTGTATGCATTAAAGGAATTAGGTACAAATTGGAGCTTAACGTCTTGAATTTATTAACATTTTTGCATTCCATTTTACTTACTTAAGGGCCTTTTTGGCTAACTGTGTAGAACTGAAATGGTGAATTAGTAGTTACAGAGATCTGGAATATGGCACATGATTGCCCATTATCAGATAAGAAAACCAAATCCACAGAAAGAGTATAATTTTTGCAAAGAGATGTTTGTCTTCACAGAAGAGCCTGTTTTGACCTGCTGGTTTGGCAGATAACCATTCATTTAAAACAAAAGATAAATGAAATAAGTTCTCTTTAATCTTGCTCTAATGTCTAAACCAGCTGTTGCTATGGGAAATGTATTTCCCATGCAACTCTCCTGAATATTACATGATGATCCTAATCCTTGCCTTATGCACACCTTCAGAAAAGAGAAAGGTGATGGTTTTCTGTGTGTCCTTCCCTTCCTGCCTCTGCTGTATTTGATCTGTTCAGCCTGTAAAAGTACTGCTTATTTCCACAGAATTTCACTCTATAGAACATGATACATCTTTTAATGAGTCACTCTCTTGCTATCTTATGAATATTCAAATTACATTTGAAATTACTAGATGAAAAGAAAACCATGTTAAATACCAGTACCCACTTGGTTAAGCTGTCACACTATTGTTACATTTCTAGAGAAATGCCAGCCAGACTTCCCAGGTGTGGTTTCCACATCTCTCACATAACATCAAAATAAAATCTCTGCATTAAAATAATACATGCAAATATACTGGTGGTTATTAGGGGGAAAAAACCCACACATGCTGCAAGTTCATCCAAAAGAAACTACATTAAAGATCTGGTGTGAGAGAGAATTTTGGATGAGCTCTAAGCAACTTTTCATCAACATGGTTCTCTGAAGAGAAACACTTTCCAATGTTGCTCCTCTTCATAAATGAGCTAACCTCAGACGTTACCAAGCACCCAAACAACTGGGCTGTTTCAGACTTTCAGTACATTAATAAATGATGATGTTTATGAAAGATATTGCAGACATTTTTCCAGGGCTGTGCAAAACCCAATAAAGAAGAAAAAAAAAAAGAAAAAGAAAGAGACTTCCAAAAGAAGTTTCCAAGGTTTTTTTGTTTTGTTTTTTGGAGGGCCAAGAACATACAAGCCTAATGTGGGAAGGCTACTATGAGTTGAAAGGCCACTGCTGACAATCTGTGAACTTGGTGCTAGGGAAAGGGCCAATGTCCTCAGAGCAAGCAAACCGGCTGTCTGAACTGGCAACCCTGGCTTTGTTTATTTATTTGTGTGGCTGTTTTTTGAAGGGTAGCTCAGCAGAATGTTGCTGAATGCAAATACAATTAGAAAGGCTCGAAAGTCCTCCACTGTAGAGACTAAACAGCAGAGGGAATGCATAAGCAGATCCAGAGGAATGATGGTGTACCTCTTCGATGGTCTCCAGTCAGACAGGGTGATACAAATCCTTGCACACTTTGTTCAAGGTCCCATCACACAGCTTTGAGGAAGATTTCAGATGACTCATCACGCTTATATTCTATATGCTTACAGAATAGGATTGTTTGTGTATGAAGACATCAAAATGTTGTCACACCTCAGTTAATTACTGCAATAGTGCATCTGCAGTGAAAATTGAGTATGAATACACAAAGTAAACAAGTAGCAGAACACAGGTACCTGTGCATGCGCATCTACTCTTTCAGCACTGCCTGTAGTTTTCCATCTTGCTCAGCGACACCTTTCTTCAAAGTGCCCACGTGCTCAAGTGTGTGGGGACAGGTATGGCTGCAGGTTGATCTCACACATTTCTGGTGACCTCTGAGTGCCTTGGAGCTTCTCTGTTGCTTTGCCAGCCTCCTGCGGGGCCGCATGATTTGCTCCAAGGGCTGCAGCAACATTATCACAGATTCCTCTGGAGATATCTTGGTAGGTAGTCATGTTCTAACAGGTTCTGGTATTGCTCTGACAAGACTGAAGAGAGGATTCCAAGTGCTTTCAGGGGCCTTCACTTTTTTGTTTCCCTCTAGCAGCCCAGCTATACAGCATGCTGACATTTTTGGTGGCTTTGGGTTCTTCTTCAATGACTCTATGCCCAACCTGGCAGAAATGAGAGCTTCCCGCAGGTACCCATATCAGAGCCATTGCTGTGAAATACAGTATCAGTGTTTGTCCAGCACTCATACCAGCGGATGCCCAGAATATGAATTAAGCAGATGTGATAAAACAGTTCAAGCTGTTGGATTTGGCAACTATGAGGGTTCCAAGAATCTGGCTTATGAAGAGAACAGATATTCATGTCCTTGAACATGGAACCCACTATGAGTATTGTGCTTGTTCTTCATTCTAATGATAATTTTGCAGATGACCAGGGAATGAAGTTTTTGAAAAGAAGAAGAGAGATTTTATTGTCAATTATATAGCATGTATGAAATAAATGTATTTTGAAGTTGTTAACAATTTACATGAAGATCTTTGGCCTGCACTTGTTCAGGACATCATCCGTGAAGTCATTAAAAGAAGAAAATTTCTAAGCTGCGGAGTGCATAAAAAACATTTAATATAAATTCTTTGGTGATGTTCACTGTCCAGAAAACAACCCACTCAGTATGCAAGAGATATAGGGAGAAGAGAAGCAGTGCAAGGCAGCAGTCATCTGTAATCTTGTAAGACAGCAAACACATCACAAGTGACAACTTGTCAATAAACCCAGATGCAAATAGTAGGTAGAGGAAAAAAAAAAACCTTAAGGCTATTGCAATGTCAGTAAACAGAGGGCTGGAGGATACATAGATTAAAGAAACGCAGTTTGTGTAAAATGGAAAAGTAGAAACCAAATGCCCAAACCAAGACACGTGCTCTTTTAATTCTGTTCCTTCCCTTGATAAAAATATCAGGCTAAATTAAGCCTTGATGTAACTGCAGCAAAGTCACTAGAGTTACACTGAGGATAAATTGCTGCCATAAATCATCAAAATCAATGACAATTGTGTCTGTTCATGCCAGAAATTAATCTGGTCCATTACAACAACAATTTTTTTGGCACCCAAAGCTAAATTTAATTTCTTTTCCATGCAACGGAATAAACTTGAGCTTTGATGGGTAAAGAGATGCCCGTGTCCTGGGAAACATGCCTCCAAGCCTTAATCTACTGGGTACGTGGATGGGAGAGTACAGCATCCCTGTTCTGCCAACCATTTTCCCTTCAGGTTTGTCTGGCTCCATGCTACCCTCCTGCAGGCACTGGAAGGAATGGTTTTTGCAGTGCATGGAGGCAGATGTGAGATAAAGAAGGAGAGACCTGATTACAGCTGTTCAGTACTTAAAGGGGGCCTATAGGAAAGATGGGGAAAATCTTTTTAGTAGGGCCAGCTGTGTCAGGACAAGGGGTAGTGGTTTTAAACTAAAACAGGGTAGGTTTAGACTAGATATAAGGAAGAAATTCTTTACAATGAGGGTGGTGAAACACTGGAACAGGTTGCCCAGAGAGGTAGTGGAGGCCAGGTTGGACATGGCTCTGAGCAACCTGATCTAGTTAGTGGTGTCCCGGCTCACTGCAGGGGGGTTGGACTAGATGACCTCTAGGGGTCCCTTCCAACCCAAAACATTCTATGATTCTATGATTCTACATACTATACTGCTCCTCATACCCTGATCTTGATGTGTGCAAACACATGCACACCCCCCACACAAGTGTTTTAATGAGTAGGTTCCTCTTACACACTCTTGGACCTTGCCTCATTTTGTTACCATGGGATCCTCCTTAGAAACAAAAGCAAAGAACATCCCTGCACTTGGACACCAGTGAGAGATACCAGATGGACAGGTCTGGAGGTGAGAGTCACTTCCTTATGTGGGGAGTGGGGTCTGAAAAATTAGTTTCCTTGTATTTGCTCCCCAACTTTGACTTCAGGGACCTTTGAGAGGAGTCAAGGGTGGCACAGTTCTTATTCTCCTCGTGTGCACAGGGAAGAGGTGGATATGCTCTCCATCCCCATCCCCATCCCCATCCCCATCCTCTCCCCATTCATTCGTTCTGTGCTTTGCAGAAGGAACTTACGCCCTTTCATATCTTGTTCTGGACAAGTTTCTCTTTTGTTGAAAGACATTATTTAGGAGCTAATTATTAATTTCATGCTCTAGGTAATCAAGTATTCATCTGATGCTTATAATATGCCCTGAAGCACAGCTTGCTCTCCTAGTCTTATTGCTTCACAGAAAGGGTTGTCAGGCACTGGAATGAGCTGCCCAGGGAAGTGGTCGAGTCCCCATCCCTGGAGGTATTTAAAAGACGGGTAGAAGTGGTGCTTAGGGACATGGTTTAGTGGTGGGATGGCAGGGTTAGGTTAACGGTTGGACTTGGTGATCTTAAAGGTCTTTTCCAACCTAAACGATTCTATGATTCTGCAAAGAGGGATTGACTTTAGAGGCAGGAGTCCCCTTGTTCTCAAATGATTTAAAACCAACTCCAAAATGATATCTTGGAAGAGTAATTATTAAACTTTCTGATTATCACTCGACTTCCAGATGTAACATCCACCCCTCTCCCTGTGCCACCCCAAATAATCATATTAATGATGGTGTTTGTCAGGCTTGCAACCTCCGTTGTAGCTGCAGTTACTCTAAGTGGAGTCAGCTACCTCAAAGTTGGGGAACAACTGGGTTTTCCATAGTAAGGGAAAACCCACTGCAAGGGGCTGTTGAGCACCCAGCCCCTCTGGACAGCTGATTTCTGTTTACAGCTTTGAAAACTGCCTTACGCGGCATAAACCTGGCAGGAATTGCTACCAGCTCATCCCTGAGATTGCACAGTCCTGACCCAGTGCTAGCACTGTCTACTGCGAGAAACAAGAACATTACACTGGCAGCACAACAAACTGTATTTGATACAGCCTTTGCCTTTTATCAAGAACTGTAGCAGAGACAAACTGAGATTACTTAGGTGCCTGATTTTTTGTGTGCATATGTAAGATTCCAGGTTAAGTTAATTCATTCTGTTTCTATTAAAAACTCCGTGCTAGTTTGAAAGGTTTCATTTACATTCCAGCAAGAGTGAAGGTTTTATTTTCTAGCATGAATCTCACCATTAATCAGAGCTCGACACAATTTGCACCACCTTCAAAGAGCCTGCAAAAAGACAAAGAAAAAATGTTAATTAAATGGCAAAATCCACAGAGAAAAGTTAGAGTCAGAAATAAACTCTTCCAGCGTGTATGACTTCTACGGCATTGCCAAGGTAAATCTATGCAGTAGGTCACCACAGTGGAGTCCATAGTGGCTAAGTTTGAGGTTTTTCTTTATATATATTTTTATAAAAGCATGGCTATCTAGTTGCACAGTGTTCTGGGGTAACAGAAAAATATGTCTTTAATACAGTCTATGCTAAATAAGCCAGATTTTTTTTTCTGCCATTACCGAGATGTGCATAATGAAATCATACACAGAACTTCTTTAATTTACTCTGTTGTGCAGATCTTCAAGATTTTTGTTTGCCATGGCCACTGTTCACTTGCTAGGCAGCCTGTCTTCACAGTGATTAAAATAATGAAAACAATATTATAGATCAGGCTCTATAAGGTCAGCTGAGTTTTAAGGGTTATTAATTGTGTTAGGATTAGATAGATATATCTTTAAAAAATTCGGCATGTTTTAGACTATATAGATACAAAGTTTTAGAATAAAATAAAAAAAGTTAATTGCTTTTCATTATTTATAGCAGTTTCAACCCACATTTCTGTAATCTTCAACAGTGCACAGTGTAGCCTGTTTCAGGATCAAATTTTTATGGCAGATTTCCTATAGGAATCTGTGATATCTAAATACTGAAAAGCAAACCAATTGAGAAAGCACTCACTTAAAAAAAAAAAACCCAAACATTATGTTTAATAAGCAACCAAAGCATCTTCTTGAGCGTCCAGGTTTTGCAGAAAGCCGATGGGCCTGAAGCAGCTGCCAGCCATCCTTGTGCTCACAGCAGCCCGTGGAGTCACGCAGGGCACGCTCAGACCTCCTCTAATGTATGGGGGCTGCACGTAGCTCTTGGATCCACACGTGCTCTACTCTTTATCTAGGACAGGAAGGACTGACTGGAGGCTGCCAGAAACTCCCCAGCATTTACCTCTAATTTAAATTCAAAGCAAAAGGACTTTGACCAGATTGACAAGAGAGAGGATGCTTCAATTAAAGGCTTTAAATACCCCTGTGACCACAAGTATCCTTGCTCACCTGTGGTTTTGGTAGTCAGGTGTGTTCAAGCTTTAGAAGACTGAATTTGTTTGATATGCTGACTGCATTCAGAATATCCCCAAACAGTACTCTCTTTATTTAATAGTTCCCTGACATTCAAAATAATAAGAGGTACATGCTCTGATGTAATTAACCCACTGATTTTTGGAAATGAAAATTGTGACAAGGAGGTGATAGTATTTTCACACAGACATATTTTATTTCCTGGGAGTAGGGTGATTTGGATGCATACAAGCTCTATTCTTGGCATCTTGTCCCCTATTTTCTTCCTAGTTAAAATGCATACAGTGTTTCCATCACAGCTCATGTATTTAATAACTGGAACCATCAACCCATCCAAAATAAGCTGCAAACTCAGCTCTCTTAGGTTATGCTTTTATATACCATCAGAAGAAAACTGTGCATGTTATGAAGATGAAATAAAAATGCCCTGTTATGTGTATGATGTTATGATGATGATATTAGCATAAAAATGTAAAAATGTGGTGGCCTTGTCTTGAGAATTATTTTTCATGGGCTGTTTAAAGGAGGTGAAATAATTTTTAAAAAGCCTATGTGAACCTTTAAAATGCCAATTTTAGATACTAATATGACCATAATAGTAGCATCCATCAGGTGCTGGAAAATGTCAGGGGCTGAAGTCATCAATTACTTGTTTTGTACTTGTTTTGCTATTAATTTTGCTATTCATCTGGGTGAAGATGGCCCTGGTGTATGAAGTCCTTGCAATTCACTTTCCCTAGCAGAGAAACAAAACAAAACCAAAATGTGAACACTTAAATCTGAAGGCAGATGTTTTGAAGAGTCTTGGTCTTTCAAGACCATTTACACCATTTGGAGATCTTACTTTTTTTCCTGCATGATATTGCTTCAGCAGCCCCAGTTTTGTCCATCTCCCTTCAACACCCAGGAAACGACCGCCGTGATCGGTACGATGGACCCAGAGCAGGAGCTGAGCACAGGGCAGCTGCCCCTGATGGCCCCGACAGACAGGCAGCCGCTGCCCACCGAAGCTCTGTGGAGTACCAGCCCTACAAATTAGTTTCAGCCTTTCTGCAAGAGGGTGATCTAAGACAGCCTGGGCACCCAGAGAGGCAGCTGATCTGTGACAAAATGTGGTGTTCACCAATTGGAGCCGAAAATCCCATCTGTTGGAGGAGGACAGAAAAGGAACACCAAACTTTCCTATGCTGCAATGTGAGCTTGGTGTTGAGTTTTATTTTTGCTCTTTCATGCTCATTTTTCTAATCTGGATTCAAGCCTGATGTCATCTGCCTTCCTTTCCTTAGTTAATATGTGGGTTTTCACATCTGCTCATCACTTGAAGGACAAATCCTTAAACAGCAGGGAATGGGTCCAAATGGCTCATCCATTTTGGCAAAGTTGATTTATCATCAGGATCAAAGCTAGTCTCTGCTTCAGGGTATCTCCCCTGCTGCTTCCCCAGCTTCCTAGGGACTTGTTTCTCCTCTCCGTTTCTGGGGAGGTAGACCCTCCTTTCCTGCTTCTGTGGGATCTCGGTTTCATTACTGCAGTTGTGCTGGTTATGGCCTGAAGCCCAGGATCTTGATGGAGCTGTTCTGCCACTGGAGTTTTCTTTGTCCTGCCTGCTTTTTTTCTCTGGTTTCCCTGGGTTTCTAAACTTCTTTTTGTCATTTCTCCTAACATTAGCATCAGCATCTGGCCTGTGTGCTATGTGAGTGTTTTGAGAGAAAGCATTTTCATCTGCAGAAATGTCCTACCATCTCCTCATGCTTACACTGAAGTGACATATAGCAAATTCTGCCACGTATTTGCTGGGTATAGGTGCTTTTTGCAGAAGCAGGTATAGCAGTTAGCAAGGCCAACCTCTTGAAATGTCTCCTAGTGCAGTAACTTGTAGACTCTGGAATAGGTGGACCTTTCGCATGCACGACTTCTTCAAAACTTACCTCTTCGATCTGTAGAGATGTTTTTACACCATTTGTGGAAACTAATGAAGCTGTGTTGTGATGATGAGTTAAACTTCCTACCCAGCACACAGTAGCTCTGTGACAGAAAATGGGCTCGGACGGGTTTGTCTAGGTCTGCATCTATGTGGAGGCCTACCTTTGAGTGGTGGAATTAGGAATGCCCTCTGCAGGGGAATGGGCACTGGGTGCTT